AAATAAGTTAATTCAGCTTCAAACAAGTGAGCTCTCAAGACAGCAGAGGAGTCTGGTGGGGGCTTCTGAATATACAAACCTTATTTCTTGTTGGAAATCTGTGACAAGATAATTCACTGCACTGTGGCTAGCTTTTGTATTTGATCCCCTGGATGACTTAAAATAATACCCTGGAGTGTTCATGTTCATTACACAACTGAGCGAGGGACTTCCCAAGAAGGGCCGAGGGTGTGAATAGATAAGAATGGTGATAGATTCATTTGTATGCTCGCTGGCTGGTTGGCAGGCAGTCAAGATCCACTCCAGAGTTGGGATCAATGAGAGAAAGACACACAAACGCAGGGAGCTCAGTAAGGAGTCTCTTTTTGTGCAGATCTTTTGTCTCCCAGTAATGTCTGGTATGCTGGGGTACAGACTTTGCTCAGTGACCTGATTTCTATGGGGCTGCCGAGGTACCAGCCTGTGTGCATGTGTGTGCGTTCATCTGCTTGCATGTTCTTCCTTTGGATAAGACACAAGACTTAGCCAGACAGAGAGACATAGGCTGAGACTGATCCAGCCAATAAGAGGACAGGAAACACGCACACACACACAGAAAGCCTTGCACAAAGTAAACAAAAAGACCAAGAGTTCCCATAGGGGGAAGAAAAAATAATTGCATGAGGAAATATTCAGTGGGAAAACATGATTCAAGTCAGCACAGTGATTGCAGCCCACAGTGTAGTTAATGCAGTTGATGATTGTTTTATAGGTTTACCAGTTGCAGGATATTAGAAAACCAATGTTTATTTGAACTGCTGAGTATACTGATACTGCAAGACTGAGCAGCTTTAGACCCCATAAGCTTGACTGCTTTGGGGTAAATTAATATAAGACCAAGTCAAAGGAAGGCCTGAGGTCCTTCTTACTCTTCAGACAACCTACCTTGTCTCTGGATAAAGATCCTGAGCAGTGGATGAGCCGTTGACACCGCCTTGCAGAAATTGTCATCATTGTTAATCGGCAGCAGGTCACCGTGGACGTCGGCGTAGCCAATCATCACCTCTATATTAGTGATGCGGTGGATATGAAGAATGAGTTTGTAGAACTCTTCAAATTTGCCAGGCTTGACTCGGTCCACTGAGAACCGGCGGAACTCTGCCCCATACTGGAGAGAAAAAAGATAAAAGACAAAGCGATCACCAAACAGGAAGAGGAAACAGGGATGTCTGACCTCATGCATTTATCTGAGCTGTCTGACTAGCACACGTAAAACTAACAGGGTGGAAGTTGTGGTCAAGACTTTTTGGCACTGGGGAAGCTGTTTCTATACAAACAAATGAAATTAGCTGCACACATTTGCAAAACCAAATGCAGTCAAAAAAACAAAAGGCTAACATATTTCAAACATTTGCATGCTACGTTCTCAAAGACAGCTCAAGGAAGTCTGAAAGCCAGCCAAAATTACAAATACATTCCCCCCAGATTAGCTGTTAATTCATGAGCTGTAGAGGTTTTTGTTAGCTGTGAATAGGGCCGGGGTAGCTGCGTCTCCATTTCCAGCCTTTATATTTAATGTACAGCCATGACAGTGACATCAGTCTTCTTCATCCAACTATCTCCAAAAACCTGAATTAGCCTATTTCCCAAAACGTCAAACAATTATTTTAATGAGTTTACCTGTTGTTTTGGCCATGATCTATAAACTAAATTGATCAGGAAGTGGATTGCTAACCACATTAGCCAAACAGGGAAACCCTGTAGCATTGTGTTAAACTCCACGCAACAATCATGTTATTGCAAGAACAAATTTTAGGTGCACATCACTATCTTTGATTAAGAAAACAGCAGGAGACATGAAGGGGTGGCTTTACAATAACAATACAGACAGAAGAGTAAGCTGTCTCAGCATTTATAAACCACAGTGGCAGGCTGCTCCGCCTCCCACCCACCGTTCATGCACAAGAGCGCACACTTGAACAATTGTGCCACAGCTTTCCCAGCTAGATCACCGCACCACCAAAGGCAGCCATGACTGAGGGTCATGATGGGGTCATCATGTGACTGAGGCAAGTTTGGACACGAATACGTGAGATAAAACTGAGGCGCAAAAGCACAGCAATAAAGCACGGCAACAGACAATCGCAGTAGTGCCGACATCTGAATCACAGAGGTAATTTGTAGACTAAGGTGCTATTTGTTGTAATCATCAGCTCACAGAGGAGGGAAGCTGTCAGCAGAGGAGAAGAGTGCGGAGATGATCTGAGGGGGAAAAAGGGAGGGAGAGAAAAAACTGCTGACAGAGGAGCAGAAGAGACTAGCAGTAGAGAGTGGGAGGAGAGAGGAAGAGCAGGGGATACATTAACTACCTCTGTAATTAGAAGATGACATATGAATTCTAGAGGAAGTATGTTAGGAGACTAGGGGGAACCCAGGCGTGTGTGTCTCTCAGTGTAGGCACGCAAGTGTATTCCTGCTAATTAAACTCAGTCATAAACAAAAGATGACAAGAAGTTGACAAACAGGTTTGTCACTTTTCGGTAGGTGTACTTAACTTTTGGGAAAGTGAAACCCAGACATGAATGAACTATAAATGACACTTCTGCATGCTGCACTTCTGTAATTATACATCTGCACATCAGTGAGCCCTGTCATTGGTCTGAACTGGAATGTTCTCGCAACACTGTTCAGTGTGATTAACCTGTTTTCACAAGGAGAACTCAGCCTGCAGGTACGAGCGAGTCTGAGCATGGGATGATTAATCACAGGGCTAAATAATAAACCCAAACCTAAGAATACCTCACTGCTAACATGACATCACCTGTCCTCCTGGCCTATCAGGGCAAAGTGATGTCGGCAGGTTGAAACTTGTCAGACTTAACTCTGACACAGTGTAGAATATGGAAGCTAACCGACTTCTGTTTTTGCCAACACTGGCTTTGTTCTTCTGTAATGGTGCACCTATCAGGAACAAGTCACATGGTGGAGAAAAAAAAAATTGCCTGCATATTCTTGGAACTTAACAAGATATACAGTCTTCAACATGATGTGCAAAATGACTCAGAATGGTTCAGACCTCAGACTGAGAATACACTGAAACCTTATTCCAAAATTGAGACAAAACCTGGATAAATCAAAGTAAGTAAAAGGAGTGGGAAAAACACGACCCAAACCCTGGCATCCCTTCACACACACACTGTCTGTGATAAGAGCTTTAAGTGAGTGAAAGCAGCCCCTGGTTGAGGCTCCAGCTCAGGCTGCCAGACACTTCCAGTGTTATCCCTGATAAGATTATCACTGGAACAGAAAACCAAACACTAACCAGTGACAACCGGGCACAGCACATGCACCACACTTAACAATGCAGAAAACAGAATCACCAACATCACTTATTGACATTTGAACGACTTAAACTGTTCAGTGCTTTTGAGACATTTCGACAAAAGTTGGGTTTGAGCACTAGAGCTCTGATTTGCGATATGCTTTTGAGGGCTACACAGCCAACCTACCAACTCTAATATGAAGTAGCAGCTTATGATTACTTTTATTGTTATTAATTTGATTATTTAGACCATAAAAAGTCAGCGAACGGTAAAAAAAAAATGTCTGTTACAACTTTCTAGAGCTCAAGGTGAGGTCTTATTTTATCCAAACAACCGTCCAAAACCCAAAGATAGTCAGTTTGCACTGATAGACAATTAAAAAAAAAAAAAAAAAAAATACACCTGAGAAGTTTGCACCAGAAATTACTCAAACAATGAATGAATTATTAAATTACTGCCAAATATTGGTGCTTTGCTTTGCTGAACAGCTCGTTTCATCTCGTACGTGAGGCCTGCTTTAATTCCTATGTCTGTATAGCGTTGAACAGCAATTGACAGATCATATGAAACAACTGCAGTTCATGAGGTTAGGTGAACTGTTTAGATTTGAAGTAAGATCTGAAAATGTCTGCTTGTTTTCCCATCACATACAGAATAACCTGATGTGGTGTCAGGAACTTCATTAATGTTTTTCAACTGGTGGAGCTGTTTGCTAGCTAAGATGTTGCTGTATTCAGATGCCCTCAGCTGACAATTCTCCTTGACTGACTGGATTAACACGTCATGTCTCTTGAGCTCATCCGCTTCTTTCCTTGATTTGGTTAGACTGACCAAAATTGCCCACTGGGAACGACATGAGGTGAAACTCCACTGGTCTCCAGTACACAACAAACAGCTCATAACCAAACCAGAGGGAAAAGAACAAAATGATGTGTTAAGAGTAATGAGTTATATGTGCTCCACAAAGGGTAGTGTGTGATGTGACGTACGACACTGAGTAAGCACTGCAGTGGTTATGTGATGATGCTGTGAAACCCGTTCAAGCCTCGCAGCTCCTGGTTTGTCAGCCCCACCCACAAACAAACTCTCTTCTCTCTGTGGAACAAACATGAAAACAAGCAGTCCCCAGTCACTGCTCCACCACCCCACTGAAACCCAAGAGCCCAAATTACAAGTGAAAAGACCAGTGGATTGCAACGCTTGCCCATCTCGATTTGGTATGTCAAGTGGTGAGCTCATGATTCACAAATGTACAGACGCACTCAGGTGTGCTGGAAAGCACATATGCACGAATGCCACTCATTGTCATTGTATTGGAATTTAGAGAAAAATCTAGGTTACAGGAAGTCCTGTGGCAATAGGACTGTAAATGGCCAAGTGTTAATGTAGTCAGAACTGGATACACGTGTTTATCTGTCATAATTTGAACATGAACAGCTGTGAATTTTTAACCAAACAGTTAAAAACCACACATTAATGGTTAAAAAAAAAGCCCAGCTCAACATTTAGCATGTAAAAATCCTCGACCTAATGTGCTTTTAATGTACGTGATGAGGTTTGGCATTCTGTATTTGTGGTCTCCTTTATATAAGCTGACACTGGTAACTAACTGCTGGTGGCAAACAGGTTAAATGTGTGTGGAACTACTACACTGTCAGCCTCTCTCCCACAAAGCAGTGAAAATGAAAGCATGTGGCACAAACCCAGCAGTGTGAAACAATGGTTCAAAAACATCCGATTTAACAGTTAAAACCTCACAG